CAATGTATTTTATTTTAACTTATTGTGTCGAGGGTAATGCTCTTGGTAGCCAGCCACACTGTCGTCTGAAGCTGTGTTTACTTATTCCGAGCATGTTACACGCATGAACTTCTTAATCGTGACATTTTGGCAAGCCATACAATAATGAAAAAAAAATGTAAAAAAAATAAAAAAATAAAAATGGATTTTTGAGTATATAAACCAACGATTTAAAGATTGTAAAAAGATACAACTTATATAATATATAATACCTTTTATTAATGCATTCATGCCGTTATTCTTAGATCTCAGTGCGTGACGATGGCTAGTATTTCATGTTTGTTCTATATATGTATATATCTATTTGGTACTAGAATCTATGCTCTACTGTGCTAGTGTAGGCTTATTAAGGCACGACGTCAAACTGTATGTTTAATCTCCTTCTCAGAGATGATTTCAGATGACAAGACCTCTTTGTTTGGAAAGATAACCAGAGATTTACAGCGTGCGTCAAAAAGGACTTAATACTTTAGTACACAGATAAACAATGATTATTGATGATTATGTTTAAAGAAGTTTTGATGAATAGTTTGACAGCTAGCTTTTTTTAAATGCAAGCTTTTCATATAGTATACGATATTTAATGCTTAATGAACTTAATTGCTTTCTTCTTCATAGTCAAATTCCAAATAAATAGTGCTAACATTTCTAAGTCGAGTCTTCTTCGTTCTCATATCCACATGGCGGAGGGTTCAAATCACTAATCCTATATTTAAAACGAACCGCGCAGTGATTTCCAGATAAGACAAATTTCAATTAGTTTTTCTTTAATAGGGGAGTTTTTGCCATAGAGTCTTTTTTTGGGTCTCTTTAAAGAGTTTACGTGTTTGAAGGAAATGGTCAGCATTCTCTGGTGATACTCGACAAGGTCAAATGCGCTTGAAATTGGCTTGGCTTGGCTACCTAGAAGGGGGCTCGAGATTCGACACCCGACTCGGGCAGAGTTGTGTTTATTGAGCGCCTAAAGACAGCACGGAAAACCAACTTCTAGATACCCCCCCCCCCCCCACTGGTCCACAAATGAGATTGGACCAAAAGCGTTCTGAGCATGCTATAAGCATGAAAGTAGCGCCTTATAAAAGCTATAATAAATTTTCAGAAAAAAACAACAACTATTGTAATACGAATAATGTAAAAGAACAGATCTTATCTCAGATTTTATTGATGCCCAAAATACGGCCCGCGAGCCTGATCCGACCAGCGACATGGTTTCATCCGGCCCGCCAAAACGTCGGTGTATAAAATTATGTGGTTGAAAAATGTATTTGTACCTAGGTTAGTGCTCTACTGTTTTATCTAATGGGCTTGTACCATGACCTTTAACATTTGTGCGTTTATGAGATGTTACTCTGAATGTAGAATGTACAAGGCAAAGTGAGAGGTCCTACAGTCCTTTACTTGTTTTATACAAAGCCAACAATTAATTGTTCCTTAAAACTGTGGCTGAACAGCGTTTAAACGGTATTCACGATTTGAGCAGCGAGTATTGTTAAAACTGCGGGTACTAGCTGCGCATGTTTCTACTTTCTTATAGTTTCAGGTGAATTACATTTCATTTCTGTATCTTGCTGTATCTTTTTGTTGATGTGGCCCGTGACACGAATGTTGGAAATTAAAATGGCCCGCAGGATGAGTGATTTTGGGGCATCACTGATCTACAGGAGTGTTGCATGTTTACATTGTAAGATTATCGAACATAAGATTAAGATCAAACGTTCTCAACTTAAATATTATCATACGTATTGTTAGAAAATAAAATGTAGTGCTTATAATAACGATATGAGTCCAAGCATGCTGAGAGGCCTGTAGCAAACTTTCTTCCTTTTTTTAAAATATATTTTAATGTTTGCTGATGTAAAAATGGGTCAATATAATAAAACTATCTGGCGAGAGGCGAGATCGGAAATCGAGCTGCACGGATGTCCGCCGTTTTAAAAAGAGATCTTTTACACCCCGCCAGTGCAATGATCTCAGATGTTAGTAATTATATATTTTGTCTACTATAGAAAAAGGCAAATAACTTCTACATTCTGGAGTTATATAAATGCGCGTTAAAAGTAGATGTTTTCTAAAATCTGTCACAAAGTTCGAAGGACACAAACTGTTTTTTAGTTGATACAGATATAGTTAAATAACTTCTCCGCATTTTTCATGTTTCAATACTACCATAATCTACTAGCCGTTTCAGGTACCTTCAGGACCGTTTCCTCTCTACACAAAAGTTTTGCCCCTTCCCTGAATCGAGCTAAGTTTTGTTTTGTGAACAGAGAGAGAGTTTACATCTTACACGTGCACAAAGTATTTCGGTCTAAAACGCTCTAAGAATGCTCTTTTTTTTTACAAAGCTTTTATCAACTCATTCTATCTGTCCTTAGGGAAAAAAAAGGTTGTACGAATTATTTCTGTGACACCCAATTCGGATTAAGCTTACATTTTGCACAAGTATTTATTTTCCTTGACGATACAAAAATCATTAAAAAAAAAATATTGATAATAAATTAGTTTGTTTGGTATTTTGAACAAGGGAAATACATTTTACTTGATAGTTGGTAGTACAAGTTAAATTAGTCCCCTTGAGGACTACTGAGCCTTGAATGGACATTTTGAAAGCATTTAAAAACGATCACGTCAACATTCACCAAGATACCTCCTTCTCCCCTCCCCCTTTCACAACTGGTCCAGAGAATGGAGCATCGAGAAATCTAAAAGGTATAAGAAAAATTGGTAAAAATATTTTTAATCGCACAGATGTATTTTATCTCAGCCGTCAAGAGCAATTAAAGAATGACTGATCGAAAGTAATTGATTTAATTGCACTTAACATAACCTTTTTTTTTTTTAAAATATTTGTCTTTGTTATGATACTTTCAAGCCCTAAATAATAATTAGGATCTGTAATATATATATATATATATATAGCCAAAGGAAGATAGTTCAGTTTATTTGAAGTGGTCAAAGTACAGACAGAGTTATCTATATTATTATTTTTTTAATTTTCGTTCAAGCTAATATAAACATGTCTGAGTGTACCGTGTGCAAATTCGTTACATCTCTCAGATTTTATTTCAATTTCTAGAAGATTGATTATAAAAGTTTTAGAAACAGACATGATCAATCCTAGTTTATATTGATTATTAATGCAATGCCACAACTCCATGGTACATAAGGCCTAAAAAAAAAAATTAAAAAAAAATCAGGATCTCTTTTTTTTTTTTAAATAGTTTCTCAGCTCACTGTTGCCTTCTCATCTAGTACACTCTGTTGCCACGTTCCTTTTGGTTTTCCTCTGCGTCTTGTGCTCTTGGGTTAGTACTCTGGCCTGTCTGATTCTGTTGTTGGTACCTTTGCTAAGGGTATGACCAATCCATTTCCATATCCTCTCTAAGGCCTGTCTGGTTCTGTTGTTGGTATCTTTGCTAAGGGTATGACCAATCCATTTCCACTTTCTTTCTAAGATCTGCACCTCTATATTTTCCTGTCCACTCATCTCCCACAGTTTGATGTTTTCTACTTTGTCATACCAGTGTATTTTTAGGATATTTCTCAGACATTTGTTGATGAAGGTTTTTAATTTTTTTTTGTTGTAGCTGAAGTTGCTCTCCATGTTTCAGAACCATACAGCATTGACATTAGAGTTTTATTCTTGTTAGAGATGTTTTGTTGAGATTTCCAGGTTGGTTTTAGTTGTGTTAATGTTTGACGCGCTAGACTTGTATAACGTTTAATGTCTTTTAATGCCCTACCGCTCCGCTCCCCCCCCCTGGATCCGCCAGTGATAAACTCCTACTTGAACTATTGAAGTAAAACATAATGAATTTATTTTCATTGACTATAATACCATGGCTTTTTTTTTTCAACACGTGACTAGATCTTCACCAACAAATGTTTCATCCCGCAAAGGTGTTTCTACGCATTGATAAAAAGTAAATTCATTTCTTGAAAAATGTGTTCTGCAGCAACGGAGATTTGGTCTGCAACATTTATTTTTAAATGTAAATTATAAAAACAAAAATAAAAACTAAAAACAATTAATAAAAAACGTGTATACTTTTGAAAAAAAAGATGTTACATTCACTAAAAGTGCCCTCTGTATCTACTGGCAGTATGACCAAGATTAATTTGTCACCCCCACTTTTTATTGTTTTTTTAAATTGAAGCTTGTCAATCGTTTCCTAAGTTGTTTGGCAATAATGCAATTTGAGTGATGAACCATTCTGCTACCAACATTAATGTAAATTTATATTTATTATGGAACAAATAGCCTTATTACTACACATTTGACAGAAAAAAAAACACCTTGAGATAACAAAAAAAAATGCCAAAACAACAACAACACATTTTCCGATGGTCTTAGGCGCCCCTGACAAATGGTCATTCGACCAGCAGGTTGAGAATCCCTGGTTTATCTGATTGTATTGATGTATTAAAAGGTAATTTATCAATAGTGATTTTTTGAATCTTTATATAGATTCAAGTTTTGTTAGTTGTATTGAATTATTGTACAAAATATATTTTTGTTTGAGAAATGGGAGTGGAAGACATAACGATTTTATATAGACTAGTAATATACGATTTGTACTAATAATAATACTAATTCTCACAATAACAATTTCTGATGTGGCTTTTGTATTTGATTATATTTAACATTCATTTTATTTTGTCTCAAGCTTTATAAGTCCTACATTCATACAAAATAAATAGATCACACATTAGATACTTATATACGCTAAATTTTATTCAATATAAAACAAGGTTACAAAGACAGTTTGTGTGGACACAGAAACTTTAAATCGGCCCCCGAAGTGGTCCATCTAGAGAAAGACAGACTGATCTAGACATTGATAGAGGATAGAACATATTAGGCTGTAAAAATATACTTTAAAAAAATCATTAAAAAAATGCATATTTATTTTACAGGATGTGACTCACAAAAATGTGGAAATATTTATTAACTAAAAAAAAGTTTCAACAGGGTTTCGAAATTTTGAACCCAGGACTTTCTGCATGTTAGGAAGATATGATAACCAGTACACTACGGAAACAATTGTAGAAAAATAATAGTATATTTGAAATCTTTCCGTAAACATTCAGTCATTCTAAGTCTATATCTACTAAGTCTAGATCTCATAGAAATTAAAATGAATACAATATTCGTAAAATCTACAAATCTTTTTATAACTATTCACTTCAGATATTGTAAAAGAAGTCTACAATTTATTTTCATATATTGAAAATCACTTTACATTTATGTCTCTATCTTCTTCTTCTTAAATACTATTTTAGTTTCTTTTTAAATAGTTAAGAAATAGCATTTGAAACATACGTCATTTAAGACTGTATCATTATTTATTTTTTAATTTCTAAATAATTCTTTGCTTATATCATTTCGCTCTTAATTAAAGTAGTTTTTCTTCACATTCTCTTATTTTCATCTCGGTAAAAGAAACATTGTTAGAATGTCCAGTTAATGCTGCCCAGATCATTTCCTTTTGAAGTGATGTACTTTTCCATTGACCATTTAGATTAGAATCATGACAACTTTCATACCACCAGGCACCTGAACAATATTCTGCACAGTGTATCGTACCGTGATTGTCGTTATCTCTATCAAATGTCGTAAAGAACATGTTTTTTGGATATGATAAACTATCTCCAGCATTCCCTATATAGTCTCCTATCAGTAGTTTATATTTCTCAGCCTCACTCAATACTTTAAAGTCTTCGTACTGTGCAAAGTATGTATTGTTGTTATATTCTAAATCTATTCTTAAATCATATTGTCCAGTAGAAGTAAACTTTAAATATTTTCATTTCCCAGATAAAATTCCCAAATGTTGTAATCTCCAAGGCCATCACGATACTCCTGCCAGCCTCTATAGAAATCTACTTTTCCGTTGATTCTTCTCTGAATGATGATCCATCCACCTCCGTCTGTCTTGGTGTCACACATGACCTTTAACCCGGAAATTAACTTTACAATTACTCGTTCTTAAAAACTGTTGATTTTACGGCAAGATATTGGTGGTACTGTTTAAAAACAATTAAATATTACATCATCAGAACATAAAAAAGGAAAAGTAACAAAAATGTTTTTTTTTAAATTCTAGTAACCCCGAAATGAGATAAGCCTACTAATTGTGTGTGGTCTGTACGACCTTCCATCAGCCCTTTCATTATGTTAAGACTGCGAAAACTAGATTAGATTTAATAATATTTTAGACCTTAAAACGTTCGTGTACATTAGCTAACAATTAAATTGGTCATAGGCAGTGCGTCTCTCTAAACAACAGTGACAAAGGCAATGAATTATTATCGAGTACAATTACCATAGAAGGTGCTGTGGCTGAGCGGTAAAGCGCTTGGCTTCCATACCAGGTGAAGACTGGTATTTTTTAAATTTCGGTATCTTCCGGGGCCTCTAAGTCCACCCAGCTCTAATGTTTACCTGTTTAATGTTTAGGTCAGATCCGATCTTATTAAACAACGGAGTTAACAAAAAAGCTAGCTGTGACATTTATACTTTTCCGCCTTAACTATTGTAACGCCGCGCTAGCAGGTATACCTGATGACAAAATAGCCAAGATGCAACGTATTCACATCAGAACGACGCCGCACGAATAGTCCTTAGAAAAACAACGCGAGATTCTGCTACTACGCTCTTGCGCACGCATCATTGGCTTTCCATAAAAGCAAAAAACTACTACAAGGTGGCCACACTTTTCAATCAGTGTATATATAACAATGAAATGGCCTTGTACCTTAGCGAACTAAACACTCCATATGCTCTGAGAGCCCTGCGTTTAACGCTTATTGTGGTGCCACGTTTCTCCATCTAAAGCTACGGTCTGCGTGCTTTTTCAGTCTACGGACCAAAGATTTTCGAACTCACTCTCCTTTTAGATAGACATGCTACACAAGCTTCAAGAAGAACATTAATACCTAACTTTTTAAAACTTGTTTAGATTAGTTTGTCGAGTTAGCTCCCATGTTTATGTTTATAATGTTATCACAACGCCTTAATTCAATTTATATTAAGTGGGTTTGGTCCAGACAGAGTTATATATATTTGTTTCTTTTTTCAAATGTACAAATGCTTTGGTGTACCACAAGTCTGTGTTTAATCTTAAAGATTTCATCTAATTTTCTGAAAGATTAATTTAAAAAGTTTAATAAAAAATATGATCACTTAAAGTTTATATTTTATATTCATTTTTAATTGGGTATTATGTATTAATGGAATATCAAATCTCCATTCTGCAAAGCAGTATCATCATCATAATATTTCCATTGCGTTCCTCATTAAACATAGGGTCTCAAAATAAAAACAATCACACCACTCTCCACGATCTTTTCTTATTTTTTAAATGTTTTCCCAGCTCTTGTCTGACTTTTCATCTAGTACACTGTCACGTTAATTTTTGTCTTCCTCATCGTCTGGCACTGTCTAGCTCTGTTGTTGGTATTTTTTTTAATGGTGTTACCAATTTATTTCTACATTCTTTCTAGTATCTGAACCTCTAACTTTCTCTGTCTACAAATCTCCCACAGTTTGGATTTTCTAGTTTGTCTACCAGTGTAGTCTTAAGATATTTTTCCGACATCTCTTGATGAAGGTTTGTAGTTGTTTTGTCGATTCAGATGTTCTCAGTGTTTTTTGTTGCCTTGACATTGAAGTTAAAGAGAGTTATTTTTAGATTTCCAATATGGTGAAAGGTGTGACATTTCCAACGCACTACGACGTTTAATGTATTTATGTGTTCCACCTGAGACACTGACTATAACCCTAAGATATTAAGAAGAAACTACTCTGATTATAGTCTGTCTCCATTTCGTGAGTTGATTAATTAAAGTACTTTTGTTATTTTGAGACATACTTTCCTACTATAACAATTAATTTTGTGACTATTAAAATTAATTATAATTAACAGTCAAGTAATTTTGTCTTAAACTTTATAAGTCGTACACAATAAAAAAAACACAGTATAAACTTCAACATGCAATGAATTTTATTCGACATAAATAATAACATTCAATTTAGAGACTATTGTAATAGCTATAAAGATGTGCCGATAATAACATTCAATTTAGAGACTGTTGTAATAGTTATAAAATAAATATGTGCTGATTCTTAGTCCTATTTTACTTCAATCACCTCTGCACCTTAATTGTAATAAGCATCGCAGTTAATAGATAATTGATAATATTATATAATTGTTATCTCTATAATATATGTATTGTATTAAATTAGGGTAAGGGTTAATAATAATAAGGCTTGGCTTAGAGTGAGAAGGTTAGTGAGGAAGGCAATATTTCCCGTTGTATTTTTTATACCATCATATTATGGTTTATTATATATTTTATTAAATACATATATATTATTTTTTATTAAACTGTTAAAAACTTACTGCCAGTAAAATGTATTAATATCTGTGAAGTGTTCAAATTAACATTTAGATATATGTTTTTTAGACTCTAAATTGCAAAACAGAAGGCTTAACATTAAAATTAATACAATATTCCTAAAAGTTTTAATCAACAAACTCAACAAATCTTTTTTTATAATTATCCACTTCAGATACTAGAAAAGTCGGCTACAATTTATTATCATATATTTAAAATTACTTTGCATTTATACCACTACATGTATTGTCTGACTTTCTATCTTTATAAGAGAATAAATATTTTTTGTTTCTTTTTAAAAAGTTAGGAAATTGCAAATGAAACACGCGCCATTTAAAACACTATCACTATTTTGATGTTTTCATTTAAATATCTAACTACTTCTTTGTTGATAGGCTTCGCTCTTCTTAATGAAAATAGTTTTTCTCTCTTTCTCTTATTTTCATCTCGGTAAAAGAAACACTGTTAGAGTGTCCAGTTAAATGAGACCAGATCATTCCTTTGTATGATGTACGTCCCCATTGACCATTTAGATTAGAATCATGACAACGGAAATACCACCAGGCACCTGAATTATGTTCTGCACAGTTTGTGTCTCTGTTTATATCGTTATCTCTATCAAAAGTACTAAAGGACGTCCTATAAGATAAACTATCTCCAGCATTTCCTGAATAGTTTCCTATCTGTAGTTTATATTTCCCAGTCTCACTCGATACTTTAAAGTCTTCGTACTGCGCAAAATATTTTTTGCTGTTAAATTCTAAATCAATTCTTAAATCAAATTGTCCAGTAGAAGTTAAGCTAAAAATATTTTCATTTCCCAGATAAAATTCTCCAATGTCGTAATCTCCAAAGCCGTCACGATACTCCTTCCAGCCTCTATAGAAATCTACTTTTCCGTTAATTCTTCTCTGTAAGATGATCCATCCACCGCCATCTGTCTTGGTGTCACACATGACCTTTAACCCGGAAATTAGCCTTACAATATAGCGGTCTTGGGTGCTGTTGATTTCCCGACAAGATATTGGTGGAACTGTTTAAAAACAAGGAAATAAAACATAAACACATTATGTAAAAATCCTTCAGCTTGAAATAAAAATATAAATAATTATTATTTTATGATACCGCTAAATTATTGTATTTTAAATCTGAATAGAAAAAGTCAAACTATATCTAGACTAATCTAGAGTCTTGAGTTTATTCTGCGCGTAAAGGCTTCGCTCTGCGCATGCATGACCTTTTTAAGTTAGATTCATAAATGAAACTATTAGAATATATCTCAACACGGCTTATATATATATGACTCCTACGCCCAGGTGAGTCACTGGTTTTGGTTTCGTCTTTAGACGGGTCAGAATCTGGTGTGACTAATCAAGCCAATTTTGTAGCTGCATATTTCTCTACAGTTCGTGCATGTGTATGCATTTATTTTAAAGTTAGCTGTTAGGGGAGCTTTCGTTTTCTTTCTCTTTACTTATGTCGCTTAATTTCTTTTGTTCTCGGCGAGAATCGTCGCAGCAAGCAAGGAACATTTATATGTCACGTAGCATAAAGCAGCTGTTACATAAAGTTTATTTTTAGATTTCTGCAGCGTCTGCAGAGCAAGGTCATGGTTCTGTTTTTGAATAGTTTTTCGGAACAA